AGGAAAACTATCCTTGTTTTTCCTTTGTGCACTGTAAAACAACTCAAGATACGGTATAACATCCTTTTTACAGAAGTCATCCACTCCATTTTAAACCATGAACAAAGGCTCTTGAGAGAGCCAGAAGGATCTCACCTGAAACTCCACAAATGGATACCGTACTAATCAGGCTCACAGGATGGGCCAGGGTCTGAAGTTTCAGTCATGCCATGATTAAGAGAAGCAGAAACTTCAGTGAGGCACTACCACAGCAGGCACTGACAGATGCACTGTCCTTATCAAGGCAGCCACGTGCAGAATGCACTTTGGGGAGGTACCCAGTGCACCCCTCCTCTTGCAGCACTAACTCAGCTGGCTTGGGAGGGCACCTCTGTAACCTGGGAGGCTAACTGGAGCAAATTCCTTGCTCTTTTGTTCATTAACGCAGTACTTTCCAAATCACTATTAGACATGTTTTGCTAAAAGGATACTACCCTTGAGAAAATGTTAGCACCCTCTACCTTGGTTTTCCCGAGAATCCAGTTGTCTAGTTTAGATTTCTCCAAAATGGTAAGACAGTTTTCTCTGCTACCAAGGGGAGCCTCGTGTGCCTTGAATGCAAGGTAATAATACCTGCAAAACCAAATGAGAAAGAAAGAATTGACTTGACAATCAATATGTGCTTTCAGTGTTCTTCTCTAGCTCAGAGCTGCATCTCTAGAACTCACAGGCCAAATTCTCCCTTATACTCAGTCCTCTTCATAAATCATGACACAGCTGTCATGAACAGATATTTGAGCATATACATGACTTCGGAAAATAAGTGGTACCATAGTGGTGACAAGAATTTGCTGCATTCTAGAAATCCCCAGTTGGTGTAATCATCCATAAAGGCCTTTCACAAACCAATGTAACTTAGGAAACACCCAAGGTTGCTCTGGATTTTTCAGGCAAATGAATAAATGACAAGAAGAAGGAAAAGTGCTAGAAATCAGACTAATAGAAAGGAAGGGAAAACTAAGACCTTTTGCATAACGTGTAAAATAAGTATGCCATCTACAGAGCTGCATAACATACTTTGGCACAGTTACATCTCACTGCAAGTCTGGAAGTTCTGTTGAATAACACAATGGGCCTTTACAGATTTCTGAGCGGGAGAAAAGTCAAATACTAGCACCAAAGAAAGAGAAAAGCACCATAAGTAAGTTATTCATGACCTGATGCCTGTTTCTTATGAGAAATGCCAAAAGAGGCATTTCAGAATCTTTCAATATTTTAGTTAACGGTATCGGTCATTTTTCACAAAGAAATATAAATGGCCTTGACATTCTTTGGGAAGCACAAATCCACATAAGTCACCCAAGGCTCTTGAGCTTGTTCCCATCAATGGAACTCAGGGGAGCTTCCCATTTTCAGTATGCCTAATAGAAAGACTGAGGATTCTCAATCAATGAAGATAAAGGTCAGCACTAGGAAGGTAGGCAGTACAATGATACAGTGATACCAACTGATTATTGAAGCTGAAAAGCTGCCACTGTCTGTGAAGAATAAAGATTAGTTTACAGTAAAAACAACTCTCATATCAATCTTAATTTACAGACAGCAAGATGCTCAGATTGCATGAATACCCACCTGTGTTTCACACCTCCAAAAGAGGTCATATATATGCATAATTAAAACAATTGGCATTGCTATCATATTGGCAAGGATTTTATCAGTGTTGATGGTTAAACAGAACTAGCAGCTATTTTAAAGAAAAAACAAGTGAATTACTCCTCATATGAATGTAATAATTTTCTCTACTCACAAGGATTTCTGTGGTTATGATTAGGTTTGTAAGTCATTAGGCGTAATGTCTTTTCTCTGTTTGATTGGGATAAACAATTAATTGGAATGATTATGATCAATTTTAGTGGCCTTTGGAGCAGGCCCATACTAAACAACATTTGACTTTTCTTTTGTACACGTTCCCTTGCAAAGCACAGCCCCTAACAATTATGTGAAAAAACATTATTGTGCAAATAGTTAATGAAAAAGGGATGCAAACATGTTTGCCACCATGCATTAATGAAGAATGGTTTTATAGTATTTAAGTAACCCTACTCGCAATCAACTATGTCAAGTAACAGCAAGAACATGTGCCAGTTTGCAAATTTAAGGTTATTTTAGCACAAGTACCCTGTTAGATGGTAGCAACTGCCACCTCAGCTCTCATTTACGAACCGCCATGTGTTGTCTTGGTCTTTATTAAGTTATGCTTCTACGGGTGCTACTCTATTTACATTGTGTTTGAGAGGAACCAGCAGGTTGAGCAAACCATTCTCCTAATTATTAGCATGGGGAAGAGCCATCAGATGTTCTTTAAAACATAAAGAGAAGAATCTGACCGGTGAACCTCAAAGACAGATTCCTCTGTAGCCATACAGAGGCAAGAAAATATCCCACCTCATACTGAAGAAAATATGGAGAAGCAATTAAAAAGAATGGAATAGGGTAAGACGACTTTTTTTTTTTCATCAGGAGATTGTGATTTTCAAATATTAGCTCCAGTTAATCTCTAGATATTAGCTCCAGTTGTCACAAGAAAGAGAAAAGAACCACTAAAATAGTCAATAAAGATCAAAGGGGAACAAAATGACATCCGAAGGCAGAAGCACTGGAATCAGTCCTGGACCAGAGACACAGATATTCACCAACTGGAGACATTGCCCACTCTGAATAATGATAGGAGATTATGTATTGCTGAGTTATTTTTAACGCAGTGACTTTCTCAACAACACGATATTGCAAATTCTTTGGCCAAGTCTTTCAAAACACTAAGAGTCATGCCATTTAGTAGGTATGGAGAAACATGGTATATTTAAAAGGAAAAAAGTACATTTCCTCCACCTTAGTACTGAACTTAATGATGCTGGTTTTCACAAGACAAACGGTATTATGAGTCGCACTAATAAAACTCAGATTTAAAATATACATATCACAAACGATTTGTGACAGCATGCAATTTCAACAGATACTTGATAGATACCTGAGGGAAGTTGCACTAATAGTAAATTGCTGTTTGCTTCAAAAGCCAGTTCAGGTAGCCTTGTTATTTACACATGTATGTGACTTAAGCAATTCCTTTCCTTAGAAGGAAGGAAGGATTTGAGTGATAATATCAGTTTTATGGTTATTCATACCTCTTTTAAAGCATGTTGTAGTTGGGAATTTTAAAACCACAAAGCAGTTTTTAGATAGCACTGATGCAATAAAATAGTCAAGGGGGATCTCATAATTTTTGAATCTTACTATCTTATCAATGACATTCTAATTACTGAGAAGTTGACTTCTTATTTGTGACAAATACCTGACTAAAAAGTATTTTTGAGCTATTAAATTTACACGCCTGACTATACCGATTTTTTTATGACAAACTTCAATATCTTTCACATGTGGTACCCTCTCCATTAGCTCTCTTTCATGATCTAGAATGTAGTTGCTTTTGATACTTAGAAAAAAAACATAAACAAAAAAATGTCCATTTTTCTTATCAAATCTTGTTTTAACGAATGTTTTTATAAATTTAAATTTATCTGTCTTCTAAGAAAGCAAGCCATTCAGAATGACAGTAACTTTACAAACCATGGGAGTAACTTCAGTTTCTGTATGTAAACATATTGTCTCCCAATATTTCATAAAAACTCCCTCTAAATGGTGTTTTTCCAAATGTTTTGATTGATCCAACCACTGCACAGAAGACTCCTGTAACTGGTTAAACAGCCTGGAATATCAGATTTTCAACATCAGGTCTTTCTCTTCCTTTTCAGTTACGTCATCAAAAATAAGGCAGAAATTACTCTACCCATCAGAAATAAGGTCTAGCAATATGAGACTAGCAAATTCTCTTTGATTATTTCTCCTCCAGAACCGCTTTTGGAGTTTGCATTTTGCACAGTAAAAGGTCTCTAGATTAGTGTTCCAAAGCCCAAATCCATGTATTTTTTTAAGCAAACACTTTGTTTTCTATCTGGTGCCTGTTTTCATGACTGAATCACATAGCTAGAGATGCACAAGTAGTTTGAATTGATGTGCTCGGGATAACTGTATGGCAGCACAGCATGTGCCACATAGGGTCATCCAATTATTTTATCTAATCTAAAATCTTTGTACACCAATGGACCATATGGAATATTTTGGAGGAAGGTAAAATATTTCACCTTAATGTATCTGGTAAAAGCGTGCAAATATTGTACATGGTAAAACAGTAGAGAAAACATCTGGGAATGCACCCAAAACTTTGGGGTATGTGCAACTATAACTGTTTGTTTTGATTTATTGGCCTAATTTCATCTCTACCATACTTAACGTAAATCTACTGTACAGAGATCACAGAGTGACCTTTATTTACAACATTTCACCAAGAGAAGAAACCAGATACTTAATTTCAGAAAAAGAATCACATTTGCTTCCAGATGAGATGAAAATTTCACAACTCTACTTTTTCATTTTCATATTTGCATTTTTTATTCCAGCAGAAAATGCAGTAGTCTGGAATATTTCAGTGCTCTTCTATGTTAAGCCAATACTTTTATTTCTATTTTTAAAAATAAAGTTTATGGTCCTTCATATGTTGTTCCATAAACATGCACATATTTGTGCAAAAATATGTTATTTTCTTGGGTTATACATCCTGCTTGAAAATTTCCTACACGTGACACACATTCATCTACATGTTTCCTAAATGTACTTCACTAATCACATTCTCATTAGCAGTAAGACTAAGTAAGAGAAAAGCAATTTCCCCTCAGAAGAACTCATTTCTCAGAGCTGATGAAACTCTAGATTTATGAATTTCTTAAACAGTGGTTCTTACACTGCACTACAAACTATCCTTCATGTACATGAATAGTATTTCAGACAAAACATACATTAAAATGGGATTAACTGTACTTAGTAGTCATTAGGCATAAACCATAATTTTTTAAAAGTTTAATTTATCCCCAGATCAACCATTGCAAAGCTAGGACATGCAGAGTTAAGGTTAAACGTTAAAGACATCCAAGTATGCTAAGATATGGAAAACTTCAGAACGATGCTATGCATTAACTATCTGATTATGGCCAAGGCATTTTAGTGTTGGTGGTTTTAGATTAGATAAACTGATTGTAAACAAATGGTTCAATTTCTCTCCCCTCCTTAAAGGGTGAACTGTGGAACTGTTCAATAAATAGTATTTAAACAGCACCATTAGCTACTATACTAGTGTCTCTTACTAAAGTTCTCTTCACATTCCAGACTTAAAGGCAGCATCAATTCTAAACAATTAACTCAAAAAAGTAATGATTAACCCTTTTTCTCTTTAAAACAAATCTTTCTACCAAAATACATGGGCCTGAGGTGGAGAATGGATAATGAAAAGCACGAGGTGCAAGAGGGCAAAATCCCTTTCTAGCCAAACCCCCAGCAATAGTAGGGAGATTCTCAACATTCCAGAAGACGTTTGTTCCTTCTCAGCCCTGGAGTTGGAAAGTTTAAAAACCCCATGTTTTTAGCACTGAAAGAGCTGTTAAATAACTTTCAAAAATTCCTAACTTGTATTGGTTGTATCTCACCTCTTTCAGAAACTGTCACATCTGAATTCATACAACTATTCATTACATTTGACCTCTATATTGAGAGTACGAATGAAAAAATGTAAATGAAAAATGAAAAAACATCTCAGATGCTCTTTACATTCAGTAACAGATAACTAACACTTAGGCTGTAAATCATCAGATAAACATAGAATCACTGAAATACTCTCAGAAAGGCATGATTTGGTCCAATCTGCATATACAATTCCTAAGGGGTTAGCAGACTTTTCACTCCTAGAAGTTTCCTATCTTCTCCATCCTGCAACCATTACCAGTGTTCTGTGAATGACAAGAGTCTAGAAAGTGTATGTGGAAGGTACAGTAGTTTACCATATTTCAAGTGTACAGGAACATTTTATAGATCTGGTGAAATCTTAAAGCCACTGAAACAAATAACAGACATTTCCATGGGTAATAGTAAAATCAAAATATGGGTGATGTTACAATTTCGTTTCCAGAAATCACTTAGGGATTTTGGTACAGTGCAGACTCAGTGTTAAAACTAAGTTTGCATTAAAAATGCATAATTTTAAAAGCAAGCATTTCTTTTCTCTGTAGCAAACCTGTTGACTTTAATTTAATTCAGTTCTTCCCTGATTTTGAATAACAAACAAGTCTGCCACCACTGAATTTTTGGGGTTAGAAGAAAGCATGTACCGAGGTAACATGTTTTACAGGATTTTGCAATATTTGACTAGTTTTTATTCCTAGCTCCACTCAACACGGAATATTACTCATTAAGGTCAAGGAGGCTTTATATGGTCATGAGAAATGTAACACTGATGGTCCAGAGACTGTGTGTACCAGGTGTACCAACAGTGACCTTATGCAAATTTGCACTGTGAGACTGAAAAAGCAGAACCAACCTCACTGGGATCACTGTTACAGTAATAACACTAGTACTGCCATGAGCATATGATCTGAGTAATGTCATCTGGCTACTGTGGAGTAGGTAGCACTTATAGGAAAACTGTATCCTGCATCCTAATACAGGATAAAGAACTTGAATGCGGAACGTAAACGGGCAGAGAAGAAGAAAAAAGGCAATCGTTAAATGAAACTTGAACAAAACTTCTCAGTACATTCCTATGTGCTTATGAGGCACTTCAAGCATGACAGCATTTAGCACCATTAGACTCTCAAGTCCCTTGTCTTTCAACCCACGGTACAGTATGTGCCACATTACACAAAAGGTGTATACAGCTGGAGGATATGTGGTGAGGACACACCTCCATACCACATCATGTCATGTGAAGCTCCAGGGGCCTGGGCACTCTGATATAGCAAGGAGCGTTCCATCCAGTGGGACTTTCAGTGCAGGTCCCTGCTAGAAAGCACACCTCCCTTCGCTGCTGTGCAAGGCATGGTCACTATGCAGCCCCACAAGCCAGGCACACTTGATTGCCTGATCAGGTTAATGACCTGTGTCTGAAACCTGGGATTCCAGCCTGAGAAAGGGGCCATGCTGCTTCACAGCAAACACATGAGACAGATACAAGATGGCATGGGGTGCGAGACAAGGCCAACAGAGACGAAGTGCCTAAGACTTGACAGGTCTACAGTGTTTACAGAGGCTGCAGATCCCATTTTCCTACTTTAAGTAAAAGAATATGTATATTTATATACATAAACCAGATGGTTGTATACTTGGCTGAAGAAACATTGTGCGAATGAGTTACAATTAAGTCCTCTCCTCACCATCTGTTTTTTAACCCAATAAACTACCTCCGGCTTTGCAACACTGAAATAATCTGTTCTACATGAAAACAGAAGACAGTAAAGAGTAACATTAGACAGAGCTTTATCTTTTGTTTACCTCCCACATGATAAACCCTGAATGGTTCTGTTCCCTGCCTTTGATTGTTTTGTCCTCATATTTCCTGCTAAGAGTTTACAAAACAGCATTATTGAACAGGCAGATAAGAAGCACACCTATTTGTTTAATAACATCAAGGGAGAAAAAGTGCTGGCTCATCCATTTTGTTGTTCAGTTGCTCAAAAGGATCAAAATACCAATTAACTTGCTGGCTTAGAAAATCTTTGATATCCTCACATTTACTGACATTTTGAAACTCTTGTTCATACTTGCCTAATGTCTTTTTGATTATGAACAAAGAAGTGCCAATCTGTTTAGCATTTGACCTGTTTTCTCAAACATTTTTATGTATTCAACTACTTAGTTCCTAAAAACACTTGACTAGTCATGGCTGTAAGCTGAAGAAAAATGTTTCCTGTTCCATTGATAGCTTTTTAAAGCATTGCTCTTTTTTTTTTTTTCAAGAGCAAAACAGACTAGAATTTGTTTAAAAATAAAGCATGAACTGAACAAAGGAGCAAGAACATCTCCTCTCCCACCCCCTGTTTATATTCTGAACTCAGGAAGTCTTCTATGCTGTTGGGCAAATTGCTAAATCTTGCCCCCATTTCCCTTGTCGTGTTGACTCTCTTTCTTGAAAGAATTACATCAAGTTGGACTAAAAACTTGGGGAGTATCTGACAAGATGTTAACCACAACTTGCTCTTATCTGCAGGAATGGAAAGCTACAGTCAGTGCTGCTTTTATTACGATTACTTTTCAAGGTTGTACTCAAATTTAGTCCACTTGTGAATGAAAAGAATCTACTGATAAGAGGAGGCCTAATTTCATCTCAATTTACACTAATTTCGGTGGAGTTAATCTTAGTTCATTTATGTGTAAATTGGATAAAATATAAGGTTAATAATTCTGCCTTCAGCCTCTTCAGGATGTTGCAAAGATGTGTTAGTGATCACAAAAATTAATGTCTTTGTTAAACCTGCTTTAGAATGGTGTGACCTTACTACAATTAGTCATGTAACACAAAAAAAAGTTGGGGGAGATCATGTCTGAAAATGAAATTGCTTTGATGGACAAATGAACACATTAGTTATCCTTCCTGGGATATACATCTCTAGTGTTTTCCTATTACATATAATGAATATGGCATACAAATATATTATAAAGCAGAAAATTTCATGATTTTTCAGAATGACTTGATTAAGCTATGGTTTATCGTTCAACATCTCTCAGAGCAAGGACCACAGATTTCCAAGCCCAAATGACTGATTTACACACGTAAATTTACCTGATCTCTGGGTTTTAGAAAGGCCTGTGGAACTGTTCACGTCTCTTCTTTCTCAACAACATAATCAGCTCCTTCCCTCTAGCATGATATGAACGACTTGCTTTCAGTAGATTCATTAACCCTATATTGTCTGGATAAGCAACCTCCAGTTCAGAAAATATCACTAAATGTTTGATTTAGGCATTCAATACTTGTTCCTACTGTTGAGTAGTTGATTGCTTAACAGTACTCCTTCTGTTCCATTATTGAATTATCAATCCTACAGACTGGAAAACAGTAAATACTACACAAAAACATATTTTACATCTAGAGGAAACCATAATGATCATATAAACATATTGTCATCATAAAGACAACAGCATTTCCTGAACCAAATTTATAACTTTTTGAGATTGAGAATAGTATTAAAGCCAGTAAGAGTAGCCATGACAAGGGTTCAGGTGAACAGAGATCTGGTTATAATTCATGATAACTCCAAGATAAATGACTACAAGGCTACAAAGCTATTATGAGGAATATTTCTAAATCTAAAGCTTTTATATCAGTTCAGTCTTAAGCATATGCACATTCTTCATATGATGGCTGAGATCACTGACCTTCCAAATCCTTGTATTATCTGAACATGATGCATAATTTCCACTTGTTGCTTCTACTGAGGGAACCACGGGGACAGGCTTGCTACTGAATACTAAGTGCTCACTGCTGGTGTCACATTGACTTTTCTCCATCTCTTGTAGTCTTTACCTCTGATAGTCACTGCTCCCACTGGAGCATCAGATCATACATGTACAAACCAATGTTTGTAGAACTTTCTGTACTTAAACATAGAATATATTTTATTGAATGGAGTTTTAAAACAACAGCCATGTTATAGGAGTCTTACCTTTTCACAAACTCTTCAAAGAGGATGCGATGAGAATACCCTTTTTGACGTATTTTGACAGTTTCCAGAATTCCAGTGTATCGTAGCTGCAGTAGAACTCTCTCATGAGAAAATGTCAGTGCTTCTCTATCATCATTAGGTTTAATGCACCGGATAAAGTGAGGCTGTCCAACAACCATTTTGGATAAAAGATCCATGAGGGAATACTAGTGAGAAAAGTAAGAGAGATGCACACGCTTGACAAAAAACTGCAATGCAACTACTTAAGCAGGAGATAAGTATTTGTAAGATGTATGTAATGCTTGATTCTATTTTAATCTGTGATGTTAATCTGCATTGACGTTTTATTAATTTTTAAGCTTTTGGCTAAAACCCAGAACCTATTAAAAGTTTTCAATTGTAAAAAAAAATTATTATTCTAGTTCTTATTTCTTACGTCTGACACCTTTCTCTTCGTCTCTCCTTATACCACATTTTTGTATTTGAAGAAGGCCCATATTAAAAAAAAAAATATTGAAAAATGTCCTAACTATAATTCTACTGTAGGCACATTTGACCAATCAAATATCCCCAACAGAAGAACAAACTTTACTGTGAAACAACCAACCACAGAAATTCACAGAAAATCATGGGGAAAGGGTTGCAAGAAGTCATCAGTTCAGTCCTCTGCCCAAAGAGAACACCAGATGTAACTGTACCATTTCAGGCACATTTCTGTTTAATCCATTTTTCAGAATCACTGAGGATATAGACTGCACAATCTCCTTGGACAATCTATTGAAGCGCTACAATATCACGACTATTCATACTGCTGAAACGTAGGCCCATTACCTCTTTTCCTATCCACCCCGGACATGGAAAACAATTAATTCCATTGCATTTTACACTAAAATGAAAAATGTGTGATGAGATCATATATATCTGCTTTTCCAATGACTCCTCTGAATACTGATACTTCTGCTCCATCCTCACCTCATTAACCCACTGTACGATAAGTATTTGTTGCAAATGCACTCAAGCTCAAAATCACATACAATTCCAAGCTGACTGTGGTCACTTTGCTGTAGGCTGCATCCATATTATGGTGTACTTTCACAATCACTCCCCACTCCGCATTTTTTTTTTACAGTTCCTCCACAGGTGACACCTGCATAGTTCTTTGCAAGAGCACTCTAAATCCACACTTGTATTATTAGACAAGTCTGAATGTGTGTCCTTGTACCCTGCACACTGAGGCAACATCTGGGTAGAATCATAGAATCAGAATCGTCAAGGTTGGAAAAGACCCTTAAGATCATCGAGTCCAACCGTCAACATATCACTGCCAAGTCCATCTATACCATGTCTTCAAGCACCGTATCTATCCGTTCTTTAAATACCTCCAGGGATGGAGACTCAACCAGTCACCTTGTCATAGAAGGAGACCAGGTTAGTGAAGCAGGACCTCCCTTTCCTAAACCCATGCTGGCTGGGCCTGATCCCCCCGGG